GGATTGTTGATTGACGACCTCCATGGTATGAATTCTACTTGGTCATTTTTATTAATTGTGGTATGACTATTTTTAATCGATCAGCAGGGATAGAAGGTAATATTTTAATATCTGTATTAATGATATAGGTCTATAATTGCCAATCAGTTCTAAATCTTTATCTGCTTTTGCGATAGGGACAATATTCGCTCTCAACAGCTCTCCAGGACAGCTTCCTGTATTTATTATATAGTTGAAAATAGTGGTAAATTCAAGCAACAAAGAAAATAGTCTATTACCCCCTGGGTGAAGATATCGCAAAAGGGGTGGGCAGTATGAGTGGCACCCTGTCACTCTGGGCATGAACCCTGGAAACATTAATATAAAAAGCAAAGTGAGTAAATCCTTTAGAGATTAGAGGAATTTCTCCACATATATTTATTTTGGTAGGTTATATAGATTCTGGTAAATAATTTTGAAATGCTCTACTTATTTTTTCTGGGGTCATTAGATAGGTTTCTTTTTCTTTTATTTTAGATATTACACTTTTATGTTTCTCTTTTTTAAAATTTATTAGACTTTAATGTTTCTGGCTTGTTACTCTTTAGATACCACTTGGCTTGTGGTGCTTCTAACGGTTTGGTTGCTTTATTCATTAGCTGAATATTTTTCTGTTTCTGCAATCTTTCTTGCTATTTGTGTAGAAGGTGTTTTTTTTATTTTTATTTTGCCTCTTATATTTGCTTAATGTTATGTAACGGACCGTTTTGCACACAAGGGGTTAAAACCGTTTAGGCGATCGTCCCCTTTTCAGAGATGCAGGCACAGCTACTGTAGAACACCAAACTCACGAACCGCCAATAAGGGAATGCTCCAAACTCCCGAACAGCATACAATATAGCACTCCAAACACACGAACTGGCACCATACGAATCGCTACTTGCAGACGAATAGGAAAAGCACCCAAGCGGCTTACACTCCTAGCAATCAGTCTCTATCAACGTTCAGTAAATCCCCCCCAAAGACGAGACAAGGCTCCGTGTTGAGGGTCAAGCAGTGGTCTGTTTACTGAGAGCTACCTGCCCAGTATTTATGCAGGTCTCCCACCTGGTGGACACTCTCCTAGGGGACCAAATGGGAGACTGTGACAAGGGACAGACAAGTAGACAAATAGGACACAGTCACATTGTATTCCCACAATGCATCCTGGCTTCCTCCTCTCTGCCCTGGAGATAATTGAGAAGTAATTCAATTATCTCCCAGGACAAAGGCAAATCGCCATTATGCACGTCTGGATACTAAAACAAGAATTACTATTAAAATACACTATGTTACACAAGTTACATTAAAACCATACATTTAATATATCCCCAGATAACTCAGGTCTGAGCGCACATTATTAAGCGAATGGCGCTCAGACCACACGAATACAGTTCAATCACCATGGAACCAAAGTCTTTACAAAGTCAGTTCTCATACGAATGAGCTCCATGGGATTCCTATCTGGGGTATAATACAGTCAGGTAAAACTATCGAACACCGGGCCATTCGTGAACTCCCGCCGGACAAGTAGGGAGGTCGGCGGCTTCAGCGGTGTTTGCGCCAAACTGTGTCCGTTTTTAGTTCCATGAGTTAGGCGTCGAACACCGCTGTGCGTTCGCGTGTTTAAAATGGCCGCGACCTCGTGTTCGGTTTATGAATGGCGGCCACCCAGTATTCGTCAATTAAGCTGCGGTTAACCGCAGCTCCTGGGAGGCTAATTGCTGGCACACTCCAGCTCCCAGGTGGTCTAGTCATTCGTGCGGTTGTTCGGTAGATTGAATCTACCGCACACCGGGCAGAAAAGCACGAATAAGTCTTTTCTGCAGGGGAAACAGTCTTTTAACATGGGGCCATAATCCAAAGGCAGCAGGCGAGCAACCAGGCTTCTCCAATGCAATGTGGCGAGATTGCTCTCGTCACATCTCTCCCCTTTTCCAAACAGACTAACAGGGTATCTGACCTCCTGCCGGTCAGTGCCCTTGTTAGTCCAGCAGCCCACCCACAAAACACAACAGCACAGCCCACCCACAATAAATGGTTACTACACCTGGGTAGAGGACAAGCTTGTCCCTGTCCAGGTGCCTCACCACGGCTGGGTGGGTGACCGGTAGGCTGCTTTGGTGGGTTGCTGAGTGGGCAGAGACCAGCGGTACTCTGCCCTGGTGCCAACGCTACTGTGGAGGTAGCCTGGTTGAAGCCTGGTTGTTGGAGGGGGAGACCGACTGTCTCCCCTTTAGATACGCAGCCCTGCTACTGGAGACCGACTGTCTCCCCTTTAGATACACCGCTGGGCTGCCGGAGGGGGAGACCGACTGTCTCCCCTTTGGCTAAACAGCCCTGTCGCTGGGGGGCAGAACCGACCGTCCCTATGTAAGAAATTATGACCCTCTTACAAGGATATTCTTTTAGGGAATGTGTGACAAATAAGACATAAACACAAGTGTATAATAAAATGTATTGTAAATATTCATTTAGGGATACTGTTAGATTTTAACAGGATATACACAGTATACATTATACATTATATCCGGTACATAATCAAAAGCTACATAATAAAAAGGCAATACTTAAACATTTATATGCAGGTCTTCCCCTTGCGCCTTCATCTTGGGTAATCTGGGACAGCCTCTCTTAGTTCACCATGGCCCTGCTTGCTGCGTTGTTCTCTCTAAAGAGAGAGAGAAAGAGAGAGAGCCTTCCTTGGTTGTTGTCCTTTTAAAGACTGATTCTTGGAGTAATAAACTACAAGTCCCAGAATCCCTTTTCCTTCCCAAAAGTGGTTTATCCCGCCCTCTTTCTCCAGAGAGTTCTGTCTTTACACAAGTCTTTCCCTTTGATCTCTTCCCTCCAGCCATACTGTAACATTGTGAAAGACCAGTTGATTAGGTTTCTTGGTAGATTGGACTGCTTGGGAAAACACACACTTGCATGGTTACACCTAGATGTCTATTACTCTGATCTCCTGATAACATGCAAGGAATACTGGAGGGATGTAAGCTTTTGTTTTAGCTGGGTGTTGTAAAATGCAACTGAAAGCTTTGATCCTTATCACACTATTATCAAGGAAATGACCCCCACTTGTGAAACCAGTCACATACACAGAAAGTTATATACAATATTGCAGTTTGGAATATCAATTTCTTACAGTCCCCACCTAGAGGGCGAATGACTCAACAAGAAAATGAGCCCTCTCAAAGAAATACAGTATTTGAATTACGTGTGTTTTAAATGATTATGTGTTTTACTGAGACACAAATGACTTGACAACCACATATATTTATAATTTAGGGTACTGCAAGGCATAATTTAGCCAAATCATTGAGGCACTTACAGTTATCATTTTTCACCATTAATTTGAACTCCTTCAGCCATATCCGTAACCTTTCATTACCCTCATAGGCTCAGCATCACTGCAACCATTAGATTTCACTCCCATCACGCTCAGTTACCTGTGCCACCAGCACTGCTTCCACCACACTGTTCCTTTAACCCTGGCCTTGCTTACTTTGTGCTATTAGGCCTCTGACCTCTGCCCACCATGACACCTGGTGTATTTTCACACCAACAGCAGTTAATTTGCTGTTCACTTACATAGTGTATTAAAGAGACCACACAAGGGAGAAACATAGTTTATTGTTTGGAGTGGGGATCTGAGTGAAGGTGTTTGTGCACGTTTATTGGGAGTTTATTAAAAGTTGTATAGCTGGAGTGGGTTTGTGTTTGAGCCCTTGAGGATGTTTAATAAGTTTTCGATAGGCCCTTGGCTTCCGGAAATTAAAAGATTCTTAGCACAGAAAGTGCGCAGTGTTACATTATGCAAATCACTAGTGGTTTGATTATCATCCTTGTCTCAGTATTACCGTCTGGATTCACAAGTGGTCATCTAAAACATTGTAAACACAAATGTGAGCAAAATGCAACCAGTATTAATGTGTAATAAGGGATACGTCCTCATAACAGTATGAAATAATTTACTATAACCTTACTAAAACCATAAATATTTAACCCCTTGTGGAAAACCAAATAGAGCAAATAGAAAATGCAAAATCATATATTGTCGCTCACCCCACCTTGACTCAAAACAATATAAATTATACAAACTGGTCTAATTTGTCTATACGCAATACCCCACCTTGAGAATATAAATTAAAACAAAAACAAACAAAGAATAACCATTATCATTCTATTGTTCACCCAACCTTGACCCAAGGAAATGTAAAATATATGCAATTATCTGTTTTCCCTATATTCCCTTTAGAGTGTGAAATACAATAAAAAGCATAAGAAAACAACAAAATCAAAGAAGATGGAGAGAGAAAAAAGTAGATTGAATGCTACCATTACCTTCAGTCATTGAACTGTATACAAAGTTTGGCAGCGTGCAATCTAAAGAAAACTGACAATGGTCTGTTGCCTTTCAAAGATTAAAATCAAAAATCAGCTTGAGGCTATTTGTGTTGGTAACCAAATGAAAAAAAGACAAAAACAAAAATATTTACTGTTGTAAACCAACAGACAGTTACACTATCACATCTCTCCAGTGTGATCAACGTATAAGCCTCACCTTGGCAACAATTCATCTAATCTAGAAATATATAAAATTAGTAATCCAGTATCAAAATACAAAAATAAAAATAAAACATAGCTGGAAGTGCAGGTGTGCTAAACTAATAAAAACAAAAATAATTTGGAATTTGGACCACCTGACTGTAATGAATGAGTTTAGAGGCTTATCCTTAATATGAAATAAAATATCATAAAACTACATATTAAGATCCTCTATAAACTGGAACTGTATTTTTCCTGAAATAAATAAACATGTTAAATGGTTGGTCTTCTCACAGGTCTATATTTGTCTTCCTTCTCAATTGGCATCATCTCCGTAGTTTTCTAAAAAAACAAACTTCAAGAGAAAGTTAATAACACACAACTAGAATAGGTCATTCAAGAAAAACTGTATCTGTTATCAGATTCTTTGTGTTAACCATCTCCTCTAATCTACTTAATTGTGCCTTGAGACAATCCAGTTTTTCAAGGAACTCATTTCGTTCACATGTTAGAGAAAGATTTTCTGCCTTTAGTTGTCTATTCTGTGCTTTAAGCACATGGTAGGGAATCCAAGGTCTTGTGAGGGGGATACCATTATTATCTTTTCTCTGGGATCTCCACCTAGGGTGATTATTTTTATTTCCCAGAGTCCATCTATCACACATGGGCCTTTCATGATGAATATGCACATCTGATTTACAAAATTTTTCAATATGTCCCATCCTACCACACCTAAAACATGTAATGGATTTTATATGTGGGGACTTTCTCTGATTGATATATCTGTGAGGTTGGGGACTTTGTATCAATGACACTTGTCTTTTATTTACTTTTTCTTGATTTAGTAAAATTGCTTCAGCCCTTCTTAAGCAATTCAGTATATTTACAAAGGTGTCCTGTGGGGACACAGTTAAACCAATTAACTCTCGAATATCTGGCAGTGTCCTATTAAGTAATGCTTTCTTATATGCATATTCATTCTGATCAGCATGTGCTCCAGGTGGAACAGTCAGTTTGAATAAAACAAATAACCTATTTACAAACCCTTGAACAGACTCCCCTCTCTTCTGAGCACAATTACCAAAAGCAAAATGATGATTTACTTCCTCTAGACCAAGTGCGTTTAATAACTCTTTGATAAGTTGTTGCTTGGTTCTAGGTTCTATAAATATCTCATGTGGCAGACTTGCTCTTAGTGACTGGTCTGTACTAGCAATTATAATATCAAAAATATCCAATTCATTTAAGTTTCTGTGGATTTTTTCAAATTGATCAATTTTTAACATAACATCTACTGGATCATCATCCAAGCGTATACATCCCAGTTCTTTGCTCAGTGCAATAACCTCTGTATGTTTTAAGGAATGGGTCACAGTAGTTTCATGTAGTATATTTCCCTGTGCATCCACCATGCGCTCTGTAGAGACTGGTGCCATTTTAGCAGGAATACTGCACTCACAATTACTATAATTATTATGAAACACCTCCATCTTTGTTGTACACAAACCTCCACAATTGGTTTTCAGCCCATATTTAGTAGCAGCAAAACCATTTCTTTTTGTTAGTTTACATTTTAAATCATCAATTTCTTTAAGGCACACAGAATGATCAGCCTCTTTCTGGCTGCTGGAAGCAAAGATTCTAATAGCACCCTCTGCATCCTTCAGCCTTTCTACGAGCTGCTCATTACAACTGTGCAATTCCTCATTTTCAAGACGCATTTGCTGACTACCTACACACAAAGCAGCAGCATTTTGCGCAGACAGTTTAAAACCTTCCACTTCATTCTTTAAACTCAAAATGTCTGCCTCTAATTTCTCTTTTTGCCTATTTAAAGATTTATACTTCTCCGCAATCCAACGGGCAGCATAAATCAAAGCAATTTTACCACTCGATTTGGACAATTTCTTTTCAATAATTGCCCTGGCCACATAATCCTGAGCATTAAGCCACGGATCTAATGCACCATCCATACATTTAATTATTGCTTCTGGATTAGACACCTTAGCAATCTTTTTCAATAAACTCTCCATCATTGACAACGCACAATTCACTGAAATATCTATACACAATATCTGAACAGTATCCAAAAGTAAATATACAATCTATACAATTATGAATATGCTCATAAATCACACTAAATCCCTCCTACCTGGCTCGCCAATTTGTAAGAAATTATGACCCTCTTACAAGGATATTCTTTTAGGGAATGTGTGACAAATAAGACATAAACACAAGTGTATAATAAAATGTATTGTAAATATTCATTTAGGGATACTGTTAGATTTTAACAGGATATACACAGTATACATTATACATTATATCCGGTACATAATCAAAAGCTACATAATAAAAAGGCAATACTTAAACATTTATATGCAGGTCTTCCCCTTGCGCCTTCATCTTGGGTAATCTGGGACAGCCTCTCTTAGTTCACCATGGCCCTGCTTGCTGCGTTGTTCTCTCTAAAGAGAGAGAGAAAGAGAGAGAGCCTTCCTTGGTTGTTGTCCTTTTAAAGACTGATTCTTGGAGTAATAAACTACAAGTCCCAGAATCCCTTTTCCTTCCCAAAAGTGGTTTATCCCGCCCTCTTTCTCCAGAGAGTTCTGTCTTTACACAAGTCTTTCCCTTTGATCTCTTCCCTCCAGCCATACTGTAACATTGTGAAAGACCAGTTGATTAGGTTTCTTGGTAGATTGGACTGCTTGGGAAAACACACACTTGCATGGTTACACCTAGATGTCTATTACTCTGATCTCCTGATAACATGCAAGGAATACTGGAGGGATGTAAACTTTTGTTTTAGCTGGGTGTTGTAAAATGCAACTGAAAGCTTTGATCCTTATCACACTGTTATCAAGGAAATGACCCCCACTTGTGAAACCAGTCACATACACAGAAAGTTATATACAATATTGCAGTTTGGAATATCAATTTCTTACACCTACCCCCTGTGCTGTACGTGCAGAGACCACAGTCCCATCTGCACAGTTGTGGGGCTTACTGTCTCCCCCTGGTACATTAAGCTGCCGCTGGGGAGAGGGGGTAACACACTCCTCTCCCATACATACTTCCAGCCGCGGGGAGGGAGACCGACTGTCTCTGCTCCCAATACAGAGTTCTGCTGCTGGGGAAAGGAGACTGGGCTCTCTATTCCCGGTAGGACACTCTCCCACTGGGGAATGGAGACTGGGCTCCCAATTCCCTGTTTTATCTCCCGCTGGGAAATGGAGACTGGGCTCCCAATTCCCAATAATTCGTACTTCCGCTGGGGAATGGAGACTGGGCTCCCAATTCCCAAAAAATCATACTGCCGCTGGGGATCTGAGCCGACCGCCCAGCATCCCTGTAGCTCACCCTGCCACTGGGGAGGGAGGACGCTGCTCTCCTCTCCCTGCAAGGTACACTGCTGCTGGGGGACAGGACCACTTGTCTCTGCCCACTGTAACTCAGCCTACCGCTGGGGAATGGAGCGTCGGCTCCCAATTCCCTGCAATATCTCCCGCTGGGGAATGGAGCTTGGGCTCCCAATTCCCTGCAGGACCGGTGGAGAGACCTCGGTCCCATCTCCACCAGCCACCTGGGGTTCTTCCCAGTACTCCTCTGCAATATCTGCCCAGCTGAATGGGTCTGGATATGAGTCTCCGCTTCCCTGCTGAGCCTTCTCACTGGAGGGGAACAGATCTTGGTAGCCCTGCTCCAGCTCCATCTCTCGGGCAACCAGGCTTCTCCAATGCAATGTGGCGAGATTGCTCTTGTCACATTATATACAGAGTAGACGTGCAATTCGTTTTGTTCTCGTAAATTTGGACGAATTTCAGCAATTCGGATGCTTACGAATGTCCGAAGTGCTTCAGAATTGCGGAAAAGTGGCAAAACAAGAGAGAGGGAGGGGGAATTATGTAATGATGACAGGAATCTTGACCAACAAGCGAATTCCTTTAGTGCAATGTAATGCGTGCTTGCCCAATTCGGTTTCACTATTCCCTTTCCAATGAAATGAGCAAATTTTTGTGATTGATTTTAGAGGACAGCCAATTAATGGTGATTTTTGTCACTGACACTTGGCCAATGAAGGCACACAGAGTAATTGAGGTGGGATAGTAATAAATCAGGCTGTCAGGGTGTTGGCTTGCATTCATGTGACCAGACAGCAGACTCGTTGTGATAGTACAAAGAAACTGAGAAAGGTAAACCACATTCCATTTACTTGTTGCAGACTTATGGAGCCACATTGCTTTTACGGGTGTTCCAGAGAGGGAGAGAGAGTGAGATTTTCTTCTGCAATCTGTCTGCATTGTTTTTATTTATTTTTTTTGGGGGGGGGAAGGGGGTGGAAGAGCATGTGGCTGCCATGCCTGATTGCCAGAGTGGTTCTCTGCTGCACTGTGACTTTGCTACAGAGATTAAATTTGTGTTTTTTCTGACGTCAGCGGAGCGGAATGCGCATGCGTGGCAGTGCCGCGCACGCATTCAAAGTGTCCATAGGAAGGCATTTTCCTATGGACGCTCTGCATGATGGAGGCATAATATGCCTCCAGCGTTGCAGATGCGCCTCTAGTGGCTGTCTGGAACCCCAAATGTAAACCTAGCAGCTTCTCTAAAACTGCTATGTTTACAGCAGGCAGGGTTAACCCTAGAGGGACCTGGCACCCAGACCACTTCATTGAGCTGAAGTGGTCTGGGTGACTATAGTGTCCCTTTAACCCTGCAACTGTAACTATTGCAGTTTTCATACACTGCAATAATTACCTTGCAAGGTTAACTCCTCCTCTAGTGGCTGTTTACTAGACAGCTACTAGAGGGCACTTCCTGGTCTATAGCAAGGGTTTTCTGTGTTATAGCATCGCTGGATGTCCTCACGCTGTGTGAGGACCTCCAGCATCGCTAAAATCCCCATAGGAAAGCATTTTCAATTTTCAATGCTTTCCTATGGAGCGGTCTGATGCACGTGAGCGGCATTGCCGCGCATGCGGATTAGGTTTCACCCGCCGGCGGGTGGGATCGGTCTCCCCCGCTGGCTGACGTGGTGATGGGGAGGAGCATGGGCGGAGGAAGAAGCAGCCACGAGTGACATCGTCGCTGCCTCTGGTAAGTCACTGAAGGGGTTTTCACCCCTTCAGCAACGGGGGATGGGAGGTGGGAGGGAGAGGGGACCTGCAGTGCCAGGAAAACTGATTGTTTTCCCTTCAACAGGGAGAATCGCCACAAGCCGTTCTCTAATGGCTTCATCTTGCACATATCTCACAACTACTGTTGCTTGATCTACCATTCCAACATCTTGTGTGGAGTCAACCTGTATACTGAATCGTTTCTCTCCGATTTAAGACACAATTAAGTTTTTCATACTTCAAACTATTGCTGCAAATACTGTATTATTGGACAAAAATGTTATAAGAGATCCACGTCCACTTGTCAGTTTTCCTCATGTTTTTCTGTCTTTTAATCACTGTTTTCTTTTTTTACTGTCCTGAACACCTTTATCATGATGATTTTTAGGAGGAACATCATACTGTGATAGAAGTAGTGTTGCGGGAAAACACTAAAGAAGCCACACACAGAGAGTCCGGACACAGGTCAATTCAGGAAGCAAGGAGGTTTTTGTAATCAACCGGATCTCAGCGTGTCCACAGTCTGAGCACTGGAGTTTTGAATTACAGGCTTTTTATAGACTATGCATCCCCCAACTGTACCCTTACATCAATCAGTAAACAGTATACACGGGATTACCTTATATGGATAGGCAATATGGGACTAGGAGAGAATGGAATGTGGTTTCAGGTCTTGCACATGCTCATTACATTGATGACAGATGTCTTAGCTACATGTAACTTACAAACAGATATGTGTACTTGTAAATACCACATAGAGATTTTAGGCCTAGTCATTTTAGGGCCTAATTGAGATCCCGTCACAGTAGGACAATTTCCAGAAAGTTCCCATGGTTTATTTCAATGTTATTTAAATTGTACAGCAAATTATTAGTGCCATGGCCGAGCAGTTTACTATATCAAATATATAGTTTAATACCTCAATATTTCGAAGTATCTCCTTCTTTCTTCTGGAGACTTGAGCATGATTTATTAACGTGTCAATGCTTCTATTTGTTTTCATGGTAAAATAAGCATGAACAGCATCACAATGACTTTTTGAAGATTCGTGCCTATTTGATGCCTGAAAGCGGTGTCGAAAATTAGAATAACCACTAGTGAACGAGGAAGAGGAATCAGAAAAGGCAATGTATATGCTGCAAAAAAATGCTTCTAACTTTCGATCCTTCATCTTACAACTCAGCCATGAACGCTTAATACAATCCCAATTAGACTTTTTGTAGTAATAAAAATCTGCTTCTTGAAAAGGAAGATCTGCGCATTCAGTCCTGGTTGGCTGAAAAGGGTGTTTTTCAACAAAATAAACTTTTGCTGCTATGGAACATGCAAGGGGAGGACTAAAAGATATATCCGATGGATCACTTATAACACTTTCTGACATGTCTTCAGGTGTGATACATTCTAATTAAGGAAGGTCTTCAAAAACATCTGGGTCATTCATATGTGCTTGCTTTCTGCATTCTGACACCAGCTCCTCCTCAATCACCTGTTCTGCTTGTGGGCTTACCTCATCTTCGACGGACACAACTGGCATGCTTGAAGGAGCACTTGGGCTGGCAGAAACCTCATCAACAGGAATTCTTGGGTGTATGCCACCAGCCTAAAACAACATTTTTTTTTTGTCAACCTACTCTAATATCCTCCCAAAAGATCTAGAAGTAACCAAGAAACTCCAGGAACTCCATGCATGGTAACAATGAAAAGAAAAAACCTCATGCAAAAAAAATGATATATAATTCATACTTACCTTACATGTAAGATTTTATGAGATTTTAAATAAGTAAAAATATATATTAAAGTAAAACTGATCATCATGGAAAATCAAGTATGCACACTTATGAATCTTAACAAACTTCATCATGCACATGCAAACAGACTAGATATATTCATTCTTGTTATCAAAGAGTGAATATACATTTCTGTGACATAAAATGTAACAACCGGCCTTAACTTTTGAACTTTTAACATACCACCGAAAAAGATAGTTTCATTTGCTTAGGATCCCTAACTGCTAACTCAAGTTCTTTGGACCGTTTTTCTCGTATTTTCTGAGCACCACCTTTCTTTTTAGATGTGGCTTTACTCTCCATATTTATCAATATGAGACCAACTGTAAAAATTTTATTAAACACCAAAACATGACAATGAGTTACATAATACCAGCAAACATTTACTAACGTAGTGATTTAATGCCTAAATGGCAGAGTATTGAGCAGTGGGTCTGCAGGGGCAGGATCTATACACCAAAACTGCTTCATTAAGCTGAAGTTGGTGTTTTGTTGACTATAGTGTCCCTTTAAGTAAGCATCTTACAATTACTTAGCTCACACCTCACGTATTGTAAAATGAAGGAAAATTGCAGATTTACTTTCAGGAGAGACTGGCCAGTGGCCAATGTATTTATATTTAGTCAAAAACATAAGGATGGCACTTGCTGAATCCTTTGCAAATTTACATGTGCGGCAATCACACAAACACATGCCATGGAGGAGAGACAGAAATAGTGCCTGTAATTTACACTAATTCAATGCCCCAGGAACCAGTATACAGCCTGCTTGCTGCCAGAGGTAAACATGTACAAATCAGCCTGGTGTTTTATGCCCAATACACAACAGCACCTGTTGGTAAAAGCCAAATTACTCATCTTTATATGGACACAAAAACAAAAATATAATTTCACCTGGGATTTGACAATTAAAACTCAGAAAGACTATCTGCATCTGATCATAAAGTGCATTATGAGCCTGACAAACCTGGTTTGAGAATCAGACCATTTTAACTCAGTTAAAGCCATGTGTTTTAAACAAAGCAGCTATGTTTTCAGTGGGGATATTGTGTGCTTTTCCAAATAAGTAACGAAACAGAATTATCTTACGTTTCTTAGAAGCAATTAACCCCTTAAGGAAGGTGGGTGTGCTATGCCGTCCTTGGGGACCCGGCTCTAAACGCCGGGGGGCGGCATAACACGTCCCCGCCGTCCTTTCTACTTACCCGGTCGCCGGTGGTCCCACGTCGGCCCCACGTCGGCGATTGCGGTGTGGGGACTCACCTGGCAGCCCAGGGAGTCCCCCCTCCTTCTTCTCAGGCCCTCCTGGGCCATGTGATCACGAGGTCCTTACGATGACATTACCGGCATAGCCGTCAAAGGCAGTGCCAGCAGGGGGAGTGCCTGGAATGGCAGGTACTCCCCCTGCTGCCTGTAAAAAAAAAAAAAAAAAAGGTTAATACAGTTTAAAAGTAACATATATACTTAGATCACATATATATATATATGTATATATATACATATAAATACACATAAAAACAAAAAGAATTCAGCGCTAGTAATCACAAAATTAGTCAAGGTAGGCAGCAACCCAAATGAAGGAAAACCCCTCGGGTCCTTCGGTGGATAGATACAAAAAGATATGGAAGGGCTGCGCCCTATCTACCCTTATTTGGCGCAGCCCTTCCATATCTTTTTATATATATATACACATACATAGTCTAAGTGTATTTTAATATATATAATTATGTATCTAAATATTAATATCAAAGTACACTTAGAATGATATTTATTAAATATAAATATAATTATATATTTCTATATAATACAAAATAAATATATATGTAAATACATAAAAAAATATGTAATTTCGTTCTAACTGTAATTTAAAATGAATATATATAGATAACAAAATACAAGTAGAACGAATTAATATATCAATATACATAAGTATATACGTATATATTACTATATATATATACCTATAACATAAATAAAAATAATTTAAAAAATTATATATATATATACACACACATATATAATTATACGTATATATGTAATAATTTTACATAATTACATCATTTTATTAATTACAATTTGCGGGACCTGCCTGACAACCTAGGCCGAAAGTATAGGGAATTTAATTTGTTAGCGCTATATTTAACCCTATAACTTTCCAAGACACCATAAAACTTGTACATAGGGGGTACTGTTTTACTCGGGAGACTTCGCTGAACACAAATATTAGTGTTTCAAAAAAATAAAATGTATTACATCGATGATATCATCAGTGAAACTGAAGCTTTTTTGCATTTTTCACACACAAACGGCACTTACACTGACAATATTATTGCTGTGATACTTTTTACTGTTTTGAAACACAAATATTTGTGTTCAGCGAAGTCTCCCGAGTATAACAGTACCCCTCATGTACAGGTTTTATGGTGTTTTCAAAAGTTACAGAGTCAAATATAAGGCTTGCGTTTCAGTTTTTTCACATTGAAATTCGCCAGATTGGTTACGTTGCCTTTGACACCGTATGGTAGCCCAGGAATGAAAATTACCTCCATGATGGCATACCATTTGCAATAGTAGACAACCCAAGGTATTGCAAATGGGGTATGTCCAGTCTTTTTTAGTAGCCGCTTAGTCACAAACACTGGCCTAAATTGGCATTCAAATGAGTTTTTTGCATTTTTCACACATAAACAAATATTAACGCTAAATTTGGGCAGTGTTTCTGACTAAGTGGCTACTAACAATAGCGAGAACCTATTGAGAACCTTTGGAGCATCCTCAAGCAAAAGATCTATGAGGGTGGAAAGCAGTTTGCATCCAAACAGCAGCTCTGGGAGGCTATTCTGACAGCTTGCAAACAAATTCAAGCAGAAACTGTTCAAAAACTCAAAAGTTCAATGGATGCAAGACTTGTGAAACTGCTATCAAATAAGGGGTCCTATGTTAAAATGTTTAAAAAGTTTAAATGTTGTTATAAGTTTGATTGAAATAGCTTTTGAGTTCAGTAAATATGCTGCAAATACAACAAATGACAAATTTCAGTTCTTTACAACCTATAAAGTGTTTCAAACTTACTGTGCGTAATAATTTAGAACAGTGCATTGTAAGTTTTTTATGTTTAAAAAAAAAATACTGTTCTCATTGGGAGGTTTGTTCAATAAAATTTGAATTGTACTGAATAGTTGCTAACATAAGAATTATGCTGACTGTTATTTACATCAATTATTTAGGTAAATGAGAAAAATTCTGAAAATTTCCTCATACTTACCGTAATTTTCTTTTCCTGGATACGTCCATGGCAGCATCACGATAAGGTTAGCTCCTCCCCCTTGGCTGTTTAGGACAGGAAATACTTACAAATAGGCCCTCCTTGCCTGGTAACATCAGTCAAGTAACACGCTCGAAGAAAAAATAAATGGGAAGGGAAATAATAGATGCTGCCATGGACGTATCCAGGAAAAGAAAATGACGGTAAGTATGAGGACATTTTTTGAATTCCTGGATACTAATCCATGGTAGCATTACGATAGGGTAATACCCAAGCTAATATTAAGGGAGGACAAATTAAAACAAAGACAACATATTCATGCTCAAAGAAGTGTTTGTTTATTCAGTCAAGAGACCGAGGAAAGAACATTTCTTCCAAACTCAGTGGTTGCTTTGGATCTCACATCCAGGGCGTAATGCTTAATAAAGGTATTAGCTGAAGCCCAAGTAGCCGCTCTACAAATACTTTCTATAGGAGTGTTAGTAGCAGCTGCCCAAGAAGTAGAGAAAGATCTAGTAGAATGCGCCTTTAATCACTCAGGGACTTGAGATTCCTGATACTGATATGCAGAAGAAATAGCTGAAACAATCCATCGACTCAAAGTGGCTTTTGATGCAGCCAAACCCCTTCTGAATCCCGCAAAGTTTAGAAAAAGGGTAGGAGATTTCCTCCAACTTGCCATTTTATCCAGATAAATAGAAATGCATCTGGAGACATCTAGAGTGTGCCACCTTCCTCTGGTGTAGAAGGAGACTGAAAAAATGATGGAAGGAGATTCGCTTAATTGAAATGAAATTCCGACATTACCTTGGGCCGGAATTCCGGATTTGTTCTTAGTACCACTCTATCCGGATAGAACTTCATGTAGGATTTTTCTGTAGATAAGACCTGAATTTCAGATACCATTCTCCCGGATGTAATATTCACAAGAAGAAGAACCTTAAGAGTAAGTAATCTATCCGAGGCATCTGAAAGAGGTTCAAATGGAGGAAGAGACAAAGCCCTTAAAACTAACGGAAAGTCCCAGGGGGGCGTTAAAGATCTGATAGAAGGCCTTGACTTTTTCACTGCAGTTACAAACCGGATCACCATGTTTTCCAGAGCCCACCTGTAGCCAGTTAGGGCCGATAAAGCAGAAATCTGAACACGGAGAGAACTGAGGCTTAGACCCCTATCCAGACCTGTTTGCAGAAATTCCAAAACATTAGAGACAGAGGGAAACAAGCAAGAGACTTTATTGATTTTAGCCCAATCCGCAAATACTTTCCAAATGCTGTAATACATAGAAGAAGTAGAATGTCTTCTACACTTCAAGAGAGTGTCAATTACTGCTGACGAAAAGCCTTTGTCTGCTAAACACCTCCTTTTAGTTTCTATGCCATCAAATGTAGAGTCCTTGGCGATGGGTGCACTGCTGGTCCCTGAATCAGGAGATCTAATTTCCATAGTTTGGTGATCACAAGAGACTTGAGGAGGGGGAACCATGGTCTGCGAGGCCAAAATGGAATAATCGCTATTACTCGGAGATGTTCCTTCTTGATTCTTTACAATGTTTTCCATATGAGAGGAAATGGGGGAAAACACATATGCCATCTTGAACTCCCAGGGGCATCCATGTTCAGAGCTCTGGGATGAAAGGTTCTTGAAATGTTTGGGGGAAGTTGAGTACTCTTTGCTGAAGCCATTAGATCTACTTCTGGTCGTCCCCACTTCAAGACCAGTTGCCGGAATATCTTTGGATTTAATTGCCATTCCTTGGGCTCCAGATAATTCCTGCTGAGGAAGTCTGATCTCGAATTTTCTGGTCCTGGAATATATACAGCCGACAGACCCTTTCTTGCTCCTGGTACCGCCTTGCTTGTTTATGTAGGACACTGCGGTACGTTTGTCCAAGTGAATTCTCACCCATCTTCCCATTAGTACATCCTAAAAATGTGTCAGGGCTAAGAAGACTGCTCTTAGTTCCAGAAGGTTGGCTGGAACGTGGGAGGCTCTTTTCACCCATCTGCCCTGGGCATTCCATTGAAGAAGATGAGCGCCCCAACCTGAACCACTGGCATATGTAGTTATGTTCAGCCAATCTATTTCTCCTAGAGGAATCCCCCTGCGGAGGTGAACAGAATCTCTCCATCAGTCCAAAGCCTTCCAGAGGAATGCCGAAATGACTATCCTCTTGGACCACCTGTCCTTGTCTTGATTAAACCTTTCCAAGAAATACCTCTAAGGATAATGCAGGTGCCACTGAGCCCATTTTACTAGACCAATTGTTGACGAAAAGTTTCCCAACATGCTCATATACTCTTCGGCCGTGACCCATTCTGAGTCCATCGCCCTTTGTGTCTTTGACATGACCCGAACTCTTCTTTCCTTTGAAAGGAAAACCATGGCTAACTTTGTGTCGAACCATGCTCCCAGGAAGCATAAACTCTGGGAGGGGTCCAGATGACTCTTCTGGTAATTGATGATCCAACTAAACCTTTCCAAAGTTCTTAAAGCCTGGTCTTTTTAAATCAGAAGTCTTGCCCTTGATCTTTCTACCAATAAAATATAGTCCAGGTAATGATAGATCTGAAGTCTCATCATAGCTATCAGAGCCACAAGGACCTTTGAAAATGTCCTTGGAGCGGTACTTAGGCCAAAAGGAGCTGCCCTGAACTGTAAATGTTCTCCCAAAATTGCAAACCTCAAATACCTTTGATGATGATCTGCTATTGGAATGTGGAAATAGGAGTCCTTCAGGTCTATTGAGATCATCCAATCTCCTGGCTGAATTACTGCTATTATGGAAGACAATGACTCCATTCTGAACATTTGGATGTTGAGGGACAGATTCAACTCGTGTAGGTCTAAAATCGGACGCTAATCTCCAGATGATTTTGGAACCAGGAACAGATTCGTGTAAACCCCTAGACCAATTTCTCCTTGAGGAACTCTTGTAATTACTCCCTCTTGCAGAAGATTGGAAATATCTCTTATCAAGGCTTGTTTTTTCTCTGGCAACCCTGGAGTTTTTGAGATCATAAATCTGTTGAGACAGGGAAATACCTTGAACTCTAGTCTGTATCCTTCTTTGAGGACAGAAACCACCCAGGGATCCAAATCTGCTTGAGCCCAGGTTTCCCAAAAGGCGTGGAGACGAGCTCCTACTCTCGAGACCTGGGGTCTCCAACCTTCAGAAAGGTCTGTTTGAGGCTCTAGTACCGGTTGAGGATCTACCTCTGGCAATTCTTCCAGACTTGACACTTCTCCAGGTTGAACCTCTTGTGAATTCTCTCCCTGGCCTATAGGACCTTGATTCTCGAAAGGCCTGTCTGTCACGAAAGGATCTTCTGTCCTGCCAGTTCTGTTCCTCTGCGAAATTGGGGAAGAAAGACCTTCTTGCCTTCGGCAGCTCTTTTGATGGCCTCCTCCAATTGCTTGCCAAACAATAATTGCCCAAGATATGGGATGGCACATAAATTATTTTTCGCAAATATGTCCGCATTCTATGATTTTAACCATAGGGCTCTACGTGCAGAAACCGATAATGCCATATTTCTGACTAGGTTCTTAATTATATCCAGAGATGCGTATGAGATAAACTCCATTGCCCATTTAATTTCTGATAGAGATTGTAATAGAGATGGCCTATTTACAACCATCTCAATATCCCTTTCTAGAAGACAAAGCCATTTCATTAGTGCCTTAGAGACGGAAGTCATAGCTACTGCAGTTCTACAGGCCACTCCAGCAGAAACATAATTCTTACAAAAATTTATGTCAATCTTTCTATCCATAGCATCCTTGAAGGAGGCTACCTCATCCAGTGGTAGAGCTGTGTTTCTCCCCAGTCTAATAATGGCTGCATCTACTTTGGGTGCATTATCCCAATCAGCAGAATCTTCTTCAGAAAAGGGGTATATAGAGGATATCTTCCCTTGAGCTGAGACCCTTTTCTCCATTCCTTGAGCATTAGCTCCTTAATGGCTTCATGACTCGGAAAATAAAGTTTCTTCTTCATCAATTCTGGAAATATAGATGAGGAAGGATTAGAGGTGCTAGGTTCTTCAAGCTTTAGTGTATATCTGACAGCCTTAATTAATTTTTTGATGGTTTTAACATCCATGTGTTCTTCCACTAAGTCCAAATTTCTGAGGAATACATCTCTTCACCTTCCCCCGACTGAGCTTCCACAAATGAGGCATCGGAATCTGAATCTTCTCTATCTCTATGAGAAGTTGTTCTTGGCCTCTTATTAGCTCTCTGCTGTTCTATGGACTTATCTACTGCCATCTGAATCCACTTCGTAATCTCTGGAGATGGATCCTTAGGAGAACAAGCTGCTTCGGACAAGCAAGTACCACATAGCTTCTTTCCTTCCAAAGCCTTAGCATCACATGCAATACAATGGGCAGACTTGTGAGACTTCTTTCCTCCAACAGATCTTTCCGATATGTCAAAATCATGGACACTAAAACCAAACGGAAAGAGGAGGATTGAAAATACCATTTAATATCGCTCTTTTAATCCAATAATGAAAAGGGAAGAAGTTTACCTTGAGTGCCTATAAGGAGATCCTCTTGAAGACCTAGATGCTGAGATTAGGGCAGCTATATGAAGGAATACACAAGAATTAAGGATTGAAGAATACCTTCTAAAAAGAGTAAACCTAAATGCTAAAGATAAAAGAATCCTTCTTATCTGCACTAACCAGAATAAACACCAAAGAAAGTATTCCTAAGGAATTCCAGCTTACATCCAAGGAGAGAGAAAAAGAACACCCTGTCTCTTTAAATAGCAACAACCGAATGAGCAATACCCTGAACTACCTTAAATGCGCATGCTCAATCAGCTGAAATTTTAAGGGAATGCAAAACCTTCAATACACAAAAAAACAAACATACCGTTCGTTTGCTGAATGGTTACTAAGCATATGAAGACAGGAAAATTCATTTGAATGAAAATTTCATACGAACGCAGAAACAAACCAACACTAACAGAGCATATAAGCAGAATGCCGACCAAAATGACAAAATGTCGGGAAACGGCCAAACGCAGCTTCCAAACCAATGAACACTAAGAACACAGGCAAAAAGCCCATAAGAAGGTCTCCCAATATTAATCCTTTACGAGCAAAAAACTGATAAAGGATGCACGTAACTTATATCTGAAAATTATATAAATATTTTTCAGGAATGTTTATCCATTATACCGCTACCATTAGGATCACAGCGGATTACATATATATATATATATATATATATTCAATTTGTGTTTTCTACATGCACCGCTACCATAAGGATCACTGCGGCTATAAATCCATGAAAGGAAAAGCATGAGTCACACATAATGACCGCTACCATTAGGATCACTGCAGACTTATTATAGGTAAAAAGTGTATACTCCTCGCAGCAGTACCATAAGGATCACTGCGGTTAAATCTTCTATGCGTGAGATCACTTAAGAAAACTGCTACCCGTAGGATCACTGTGGTACAATTTCCATCACATAATACCCCTTATATTACCGCTATTAGATAATTATTGCGGAATTTTTCCATTATTAAGGATATCTATATTTTCTTGTTTAATAACATTTGAAATTTCCATTTCTTCCAGGAGAGAGAGGCTGAACTCTCCTGGGAATTAAAGAGCTAAACTTAAAATAAAATAAAGGTAATGTAAATTACCTGAATCATGTCCACAGCCAAGAGGACAGGAATATGATGATACCAGGCAAAGATGGCCTATTTGTAAGTATTTCCTGTCCTAAACAGCCAAGGGGGAGGAGCTAACCCTATCGTGACGCTGCCATGGATTAGTATCCAGGAGTATCCAGGAATATAATTTGCATAATAATATATATATATATATATATATATTGCAAATTATTATGCAAATGCTGATCATATGTGTATATATACTAAACCCCCATTATTTTTTGCCTAGGTGAGGTGTTTTTAAATAAAACTATTACAATCTCTAAGATTTTGAAAGCATTGTTTAGTGAATAAGCGAGTGCGCTGGATTCTGTATTTTATATATTTTGGCCCCAGCAGCACCCTGTAATGTATGCATGTTCAGGTGAGTGCAGCCCTCTTGGTTTTGTTTGTATATTTGGGATTCCAGGCCAACTCCTTGGTTTTGCACCCCTCCCTGTCACAGGTGCCTCATTCCAGGACCCTATTTAGCCTTGACTTGCAGAGAGTCCCAGTAAGGAAGTATTTCCCAAGTAAGTGGATTAATCTCGTAAGGGCAAGCATTAGGCTGCTAGAGTAGGACCTGCCAAGAATGGGGTACATTGATGTTGTGGCAGGCTTATGCAATATATGATCATATAATGTAACTAAACCCCCATTATTTTTTGCCTACGTGAGGTGTTTTTAAATAAAACTATTACAATCTCTAAGATTTTGAAAGCATTGTTTAGTGAATAAGTGAGTGCGCTGGATTCTGTATTTTATATATTTTGGCCCCAGCAGCACCCTGTAATGTATGCATGTTCAGGTGAGTGCAGCCCTCTTGGTTTTTTTTTTTTATATATATATATATATATATATATATATATATATATATATATATATATATATAATGATCAGCATGTAAATGACAGCAATTCCATCAACACAAACACTGAGCAATTATGCTGTACAGTATAGGCATAAAATATTATATAACAACATGCCTACCTCAAAGACACATCACTGGTATACAAGTCCAGCTTCGAAACATACAAGAGCATGCACAGCTCTCAAAACACACACATTACGCACAGCTCTCAAAACACACACACTTTTTTTTTTTTTTAAAACAAATTTGTACTGAAGGAACCATGTAGCTGAAATTTTTTTTTTTTACATGATAGAAGTATATGTTGTACAGCATAGGCAGACATAGATTGCAGTACATAGCAATTCAACTATCTTTCCTGATGATGAACAATCAGCATCATCATAGGATACTTTTGGCTGGCTGTGCATGATAAGAACTGTAGTTCACGGTTAATGTCTGTCAAATTACCTGCAGTGAACTACAGTTACCATGAAGCTCAGTAGTCAAATCTTATACATCATGCTGGCTACGAATCACAGGAAAAGCAGTCAACAGTAGTGGAAATGACATTTGCTGTGAGCTACAATTCCTATGATGCTCAGGCAGCCTAATGTTTCCTGTGACGGATTCATAGTACACAGCATCATAAATTATAGTATATATTTAAAAAAGCTAGCCATGATCAGTGAAGTGTAGGATAAAAAAATAAGCTATCCTTTATCTATTGGACATGGATGAAATTTATTATAGGATGCCTTACTGGTGTGCTAATGAAAAAAAAGAGGGTACAGCAATACTGTGTGAAAAATTTGTATATAAAAATAAATTATAAAAACCCTTTAGGTGACACAATGTATAGATTAATGTCAAATAATAAAAGCAGGGTCATAATCTTAAATAAAATGTTCCAGACTAATGCCCAAGTAAACATTGCATAATTGCTGTTACTTGGCAGTCTGGACACTATGGAGAGATAACACAGAATATAGAATATAAGCAAAAAATGGACTGCGCTATAAAGCGTAATATATAAATAAATGAGAAAAACACAATCTATACCAAAATATATAAAAATATATAACAGTTATTAGTAGGTCGAAAAGGGACTTCAGAAATATACTACTGCATATCAAATATTGCTATACAAATTCAGTGCCATAAACGCAGCCTATAAAGATATATATATAAAAAATTCACATAGGAAATGCTTACAAAATATCTAATGTTGGTATTTGAATTATACAATATAAATATAAACACACAATAAATGAAAAAATAATGATAATAATAATTACCTCCAAACAAACACTATCAAATAGTGTACCCGGCTGGGAAAACAGAGACTAAGGTGCTTCAAAACCAACGCCTCATACAAATAATCACGCTAGCACGGTTTACAGTGTCTGCCATGGAAAAATGAACAGGCAATGTACTAAACTGCAGTCTCCCTTGTGAGCAAGGTGCAACAATGCAAAGCCCAACACCCAACTTGCAGCAACCAGGCTATAGGAGGGAGATGGCCAGCAGGGCCGTCTTTAACACGGGGCAAACGGGGCAGCTGCCCCGGGCCCTGTCCCTGCTGGGGGGCCCAAGACAGCTGCTCCGTTTGCCCTCTGCCTGCAAACTATGGGGGCCCATCGGGTGGCCCATGCACTTAGGGCCACCCAGTGGGCCTGTGTCAGCAGGGGCCCGGTCGGGCGCTGTAGCACTTTAACAGCGCGACCGGGCCCTTGCTTTTCGGCAGCACTGGGAGGAAGTGACTGCCGCGCGTCACTTCCTCCCACAGAAACAGGAGCCGCGCAGGGAGGAAGGCGGACCAGCTGTTCCGGAGGGGGGAGAGCTTAACTCCCAGCCACCTAAGCCAGCCCACTGGACCCCAGGGAAGCCACCCTCCAGTAAAAGGTAAGAAGCTGGAGGGTGGTTATCACATTTTGCATGAGTGTCTGTGTGTGTGTGAGTATGTATGTGTGTATGTCTGTCTGTCAGTGTATGTCTGTTAGTGTGCCAGTATGCCTGTCAGTGTATCTGTATGTCTGTGTGTTTTAGTATGTCTGTCTGTGTGTATGTTTTCCAGGATGCCTGTCAGTGTCCGTGTGGTTCTGTATGTCTGTGTTTGTCAATATGTCTGTCAGTGTCTGTGTGTATATGTGTGTGAGTCTGTCAGTGTCTGTGTGGTTCAGTATGTATGTGTGTGTGTGTGTGTTTCAGTATGGCTGTCTGTGAGTGTCAAAATGTCTGTATGTGTGTACGTCTGTCAGTGTCTGTGTGTTTCAGTATGTCTGTCTGTGTGTATGTGTGCCAGAATGTCTGTATGTCTGTCAGTGTGTCGGTATGTCTATGTGTGAGTCTGTCAGTGTCCGTGTGGTTCTGTTTGTCTGTGTGTATGTGTGTTTCAGTATGGCTGTCTGTGTGTGTCTCTGTGTCAGTACGTCTGTCAGAATGTGTCTCTGTATCTGTATGTTGTCCGTTTGTGTTTGTGTGTGTATCTGTATATAGTCAGTGTGTATCTGTATGTGTCAGTGTTTGTATCTGTATATCTGCATGTGTGTCAGGTTGTGTATCTGTGTGGCTGTATATGTGTCAGTGTGTCTATATGTAGTCTGTGTGTATTTGTATGTTCTTGTGTGTATCTATATGCGGTCAGTGTGTATCTGCATGTGTGTCAGGTAGTGTATTTGTGTGTATCTATATGTAGTCAGGGGGCCCAAGTAAATGCTTGCCCAGGGTCCAATCAAAATTAAAGACGGCCCTGATGGCCAGTGATGGGCTCCATACAGGCAGGCTGTGACTCTGGGGTTAGGTGTAGTCCATGTATCGAGCATGTTTTGTATACATCGATGGGATTACCATCCCATACACCGTCACCAGAGCTTGCCAAATTTAATTGGAATCTAGAAGCCAGCTAACATAGTTAGGAGTA